TAATAAACTCATACATAATTTTTAATAATATTTATAAAATTCTTATAAAATATTTATTAATTTAATTTAATAATTATAATATTATTAATCTTATAAAAGTTATTAATATTTTAAAATATAAAATAATTTTAAAATATTATTAATTTATTTTTAAAATTTATTATAAATTTAATATAAAATTGATTTAATAATTCTATTAAATATTTTTAGTAATATTACTTTTTATTTAAACTAAAAATTTTAAACTTAAAATTATCAAATTATATAATATTTAACCAGTTTTTAATAATTTAATTTTTATAATTTTGTGCAAATTCTAAATATTTTTTTTGATATTTTTTATTAAATAAAGTTCTTTTTTTTATTTCTAATATCAAATTATTTTTTTATAATATATAATAAATAATAAATAATAATATATTTATATTTTCTTTTTTTTAATTATATTTTTGAACTTTTCTTATTAACTAATATCTTTAAAAAATAATAAAATTAATAATTTTCTTTATTAATTTATTTATAATATAGTGATGATCAAAATTAATGACTCAAGAACTAAATTTACTAATAAAACATAGTAAAAATTGAAATTTTCTCTCTATATTAAAATTTATAATTTTAATATAGAGAGAAAATTTCAATTTTTACTATGTTTTATTAGTAAATTTTGTCTCTAAGTTATTACTTTTGGTTATTACTATAAATAGTTAATTGAATTTTATTATATCTTTAAAAAAATTTGTTTATATATTTTTTATTAATATAAGAGATAGTTAAGAGACTGAGATTTTTTGACTTTACTATTATTTTATTATATATTTATTTTAAAGAGCAAGAAAAATATATATATATTTTTTTAAAGTTATATAATATTTTTATAATTTAACTTATTATCTAAAAAGTTATAATAATATATATAATTCATTATAAAAAATTTGATATATTAAATAAATATTAATAGATTATTTTTTCAAAATAAAATTTTTAATTTTATTTAATTAAGTTATAGATATTAAAATTTATTAAAATATAAAAATTTTTATTATATATCTTTCATACTTTTATAAAAAAATTTAATTAATAATAAATTTTTTAAATCATTATTTCTTAAATTTTACTATATAAAATTTAATTAAAATTAATATAAAAATTATATAGTAAATAATTTAATTATTAAACTTTGAATCTTAATATCTTTATAATTACTAATTTAATTTTCTTTTTTTAAAATAAAATAGTTTTATTTAAATTTTTTTTAGCAAAGTAATACTTCAATTATTATTAAATTAAAGTATAATAGAATAATTAAAATAATATAAAAAATAAATTTAGATTATTTTTTATTTAATATTAAAGATTAGTTAAAATTTGAATAATTTTTGTTAAAAGTAATTATTAATTTTTATATTAATATATTAATCTTTTTGTAATAATTTGTAATATATAATAAACTTATTTTTATATAATATTTGTGCTATATAATTATGACTATTTGATTTTTGTATGAGATAATTATTAATAAGTTTGATTTTTTTTATATTTATCTAATAATAACATTTTATTAAGATTTTAATATTAAAATGATACTATTAAAAAGCAAGATTATTTAAAAATATAAGAAGTGTATATTATAATTTTGCAAAATATTTTAATTGAAGAAAACTTTTTTTATTATATTAATTATGATCATAATAATAATTTTATGAAATTTGCTGAAAACTGATAAATAATTATTTTTATATTTCATAAATAACTTTACTTAATTATTTAAAACATAATCATTAGATGAAAATTATTGAAATTATGTAAGAAATTACTTTTATAAACAAAATATTCAAGCAATAAAAATCAATTATAATATTTAAATTTATTGATTTTTATCATAACTAGATTTTAATTAATTAATGTAATTAATATAAAATTTTATTTTTTTAATAACTGAAAAAAAATAAAAAAATTAGGATTTTAAACTAGAAAATTAGACAACAAAAAAAATCTGATTTTTTTCCAATTTGAAAGTTATAAAAGAGCTGGAAAATTCAAATTATCAGAAATTTTCCAGTGAATTATCATGGATAATTTTTTATAAGATTACTGGATCTCAAGATATTCAGACACAAAGAGATTATACATATAATTATTACTTAAACATTATATATGTTCTCTTTTGAGATCTAATATTTCATGATATAGTAATAGAAATCAAATACAAAATCTACTATTCCATTTACAGATCCAGAAAATCAAATGGCGAGCTTCATTATTTGATTCTCTTCACTGGGTCTCAAGATATTGATTTTCTAAAGAGACATCTTGATTATTTTAACAATTTATTATACAATCTCTTTAGAACTCAATATCTTGAGATTCAATAAAGATTTAATTTAGCAGAATCTAGAAATCGAATTGTGGTCTTCGCATTCGCATTACCTGACATGTACCTATATTCGTTAATCGTTGGTGATGGGAATACACAGCGTATCTTTTACTGCATATTCGTGAATTTGATGGCGCAATCCCGTGGCATTTTCTGATGTGAAACGAGAACAAATATTCCACTGCATATATTTTTGAAATCGTATTGAGATAAATTATGTTTAATATGATAAATTATGTTTATATGAAGGTACTAAAAATCAAAATATTTTTATATCTCGTTAAATATATCTATTGCGGCAAAATTGACCTGGAATCCAATGCTTTTAAACGTTATTGATTACTGTAGATGAGTTTTGTTCTTGGCGAACTACTTGAATGCATTCAAGACTGTCTTTTGGAATATCATGTCAAGTATATGACTGAAATTTCGCTTAGTCAATCAAATCGTATCCGAAGATAACTCTTACGAAACTTCATAAATTTTGCACAGATATTGCGTGTGAAATACTGCAACTGTTTTTCAGTCGAATAATTTTACAAAACTGCAAGACAACGCTCTAGTTTTTTGTTTATCGTCTCTTCATGAGATCGATATTTTGGAGAATAGGGAACTGTTCAAACTTCCAATCCGAAAATTTGACTTTCGATAACCGTAGGGAAATAGACACATAATTCACACAACAAAATTCAAATTTAACAATGATCGTTTTTATCCACGTAAATTCTGTTGATTTTTGCAATAAGCTAATGCCCTATTCGTAACTCCGATCAGCCAAGTTATATTGCATAATTGCTTGTCTCCAGTAAGTGTTCGAGATTCAAACCATAATTCCACAATACATACGGAAATCAATTCAAGAAGTAAAGGAATAGGATATGTTTACGAGGCAGATTATTACTGCATCTGATTTCATCGACCTTATGACAACAAAGGTTTAACCGTTGTTGCCGAATTATATAGGTGGAGAAAAAATAATTGATGGATATAATGAAATTCTTTTGACCGATTTTATCATGGACTAAATAGTTTTTTTTTCGAATTGATTATTGATTCAATGTAAATTTTTTATATTATTTTAGCCGAAGCCACGAAAGTAAAGACATAATTTTGTATGTTTTAAAAGAAGGTACAATAATTAGAAAGATGAACTTTTCTTAAACATACTTGTAAATACCAAACACACAACCACTTTTGTCGTCGTAAATAAATAATCTAATCCCATCATGTATTATTATTACTAATTAAAATTAACTTAGTTACCATTTCTTTTAGTAATGATGAATAGAGTTCTAGCAATGTCTTGTTTTATTGAATGCTTCGTCATATGTTTATTGAAAGTGCCATAACGATAATAGTTCTTTAATTTCATTTATTACCTATCTCTAGCAAACTCTTGTTAAAATAACGTGCTTGGGCGCAATTTTTAACGTGATTACCTACATATATCAACAGAAAGCTTTGAAGGTTTTTAAAATACGTTGTTCTTCAAAGAATAATTGTTGTCTTACATTACTTATTAAATTCATGTAAAACAATACGATCGAAAAATGCATTTACTTTTGTGCTGAGTTATCATTTTTTAATCTTATACGTTGTGTTGCTTTACACTAATTTTATGGAAAACCTGATGTACTATCACCATTCAATTGCAGCGGTAATACGTTTCGATAGGTATACGTACGTATATCAAATAAATTCTGTTCCAGGATGAAAGGGTTATTTGCATTTAAATTTTTATTGTAAGAGTGGCTTTTCCAACCAGAATTGACTTCTGGTTTGCGTCACAAAAAAAATAATAATGCATTAATGAAATTAATATTAAATACATATGGTAATTTAGTATATACATAGGGGTCACTTGTAAACTTAAATGTTCTATATCAACTTTAAATAAACATTCGATTAGTGCAGACTGCTTTATTTTTAGATTTAGGCTGGGTTTTAATTATCGTCATTATTTCCTAACGATAATACATATAATAGAAAAACGTGATCTTTAAGGTTAGAAATGATTTTTGAAAACCTGTTTTAACCATGTATTTTAAAAACAAAAAAGCAGCTTGGTTACGAAATTGTTTTCAAACCTTTTTTCAAGGTATTTATCATTAGTAAACTTTTCAAAGAGATTCTTCTGAAACGGGCTATTAAATTATGTGGACGTTGCGCTAGGTTATTACTGGCAATCGAAGTATTTACGCGTACACTCGACACAGTCTTGAGGCAGAGTACAATCATAGACATGCGATTGATCATTCTCTGCAGCAATTATTCGTTCGAGGAATGCATGTATTTAATTTCATCTTTCTGAGCTTGCTTACAAAACTTTATTAGTGATTATGTGCTGTATTTTATATAGATTAACGTACATGCATATTAAGCCTTTGAAATTAGGGTAAAATAAATATAATCTTGTGGATGACTGTGACATTGCACAAAACATTCTAATTGGGTTATCCCACCAGAGCTTGCTCAAAAATTCTATGTATACTGTATAATTATTTAACATTAAACGTTCTGACAAGTCACGGATATTACTAATAAATTATACGATAAAAATTAAAAATGGATAATAAGCAGAGCAATTCTCGAGCTCACAGTAGCTGCGGAAGTACAGAGGTGTTTATACCGAATTGCTGACAACCTTCTCTTGAGCATCTTGTGATAGTGATAAGTTGTAAGAGATGACGTCAGCCGCAAGGTTCACCCGGACGGTCTGAGCGGTAAGTTCAGAGAGGGCGTCATTGATTTCGAGTACTATTTCTGCGTATTCGACATATTTCGGCGTGGCTTTTCCCTTTACGCTCCCATCCCAGCTTGCCTTCATCTTTATCGTGTAATGAGAGAGGTTGGCGCGTCGCCATACAAGATTCCAGTTAGCTGTTGGGTTATCTTTCTGTCGTATATTGTAATGTGTGAACAAACTGTTTAAGGAAGCGGTAAATTTTTCAGCACGATGCTTTGCTGTTCTATCGATCAAATATGTGCCCAAAATGTATATGAAAATAGTGGATAATACGACTACGGGACCAATAAAAGAAATAGTATGTGTAGGGGATAAGAAAAATGAAACGATTATAAATAAGATCGCGTGCGACCCTATTACACTACATATGTTCTTAAAAATATTCATTGTTCTCTCGCTCAATAACGGGATGTCTTTGATGTGATTATTGATTTCATTAAGACGAGCGGCGAACTCGTCGCGAGAGAGAAAACCGTGGAGATCAAGGCACCATTCCGCGTCAAAAGCATGACAAGATTGAAAACATTTCAAGCAAGAGGTTTTCAGTTCAATGAGAGGGATTATGATGGTTTTCATTGTGTAAGTTAAGCTAGGAGTTTGCAGCTTAAAAATTTCCAGGGAGGCGTGCGCTTCATGCGTTATATATAGGTGATTGCAAAATTAGTGTCGCAGCAAAGCTGTGGACCGCATGTGTTAGACATAATTGGTTGCGATAGTAAATTAAAAATAAATAATGCCACAATACTTTATTAAGTTGACGATAAAACAGAAAGGGAGATTGGGTAATATTGTAAATTGTTGTATTCATGTAGAGAACCCACCGGCGAGACATTACGAAAGAAGCGTAGAGAAAGGGAGAAGCAACGAATAATATTTTAGAAGCGGTGTTTCAAATCATTATGTAATACTCAGTTACCTGATCGGTGTGCTCCGTGCTGACGCTTTTAAGGTTTGTCATAATATGAACAAAGGAAAATTATGTCGATTTTTACATAATGATAATGAAAATGCATTAGAGAATGATCCACATTTTTTTCAAGTAATATGTTTACTACATGTGGTTAAAACAGTTAAACTTAATTCATTATTTGGTCGATCCTTACGTAACATATCACTATGATTGGTGATTGGTGATTCTTAGACATGTAGTTCCTTTTCTAGAATTTTTATCTAACGGTCATTTGACGTTTATTTTCTCGGAATTAAAACCTTAAATATAGATTAATTACACGAAGCATTTTTATATTAATAATACGAGCATTCTCTCCTCCTTCAATGCATATTTTGGTTTGGGACTCAGATATTAGAAATGCTTGGCAACTTAAATGCATACCATGGTACCGGTCTCAACAGCCAGTGGTATTCTTGAAACTTCCAATAAAATTCTTTCCGAAAGATTTTCAACCCTTATGTGAAGTGCCTATGTTCAGGAAATTTGATTGGAAGTATTTAAAAACATCGTGGTTCAAGGGTATGCATTTAGAGGAGTGCGACTGCGTTACGTAAATGATAAATTAATTTTTGCTCGTTTAATATTCATTTTTTAAATTCTCTTGTATATTGATAATCCAAAACATCAATATCCATAAAATGGATTGTTCTCTACTTTAATAACGATGACTACCTGTATTCTTTATTGGTCTCTTTGCATAATTCACTTTAAAAATAATATGAAAATTTGTTAATCTAGCTTAACTTTCCTATGCTGATTTTCTTATAGAAATATAAAGTTCAACTCCTTCATTTAAATGATAGATATAAGTTATAATAAAGTTTGTGTTTTTATTCGAAAAGAACAGGAATTATAAAAATTTATCAATTGACCTTCTCATGCAGCTTGAATGAGTTATCTTCTTTATTTTTTGATGCAGGATATTGTCTTATAAATGATGTAATTACTGTATTCATGAATTTGAGGCAAAACAAATTTGCATGAAAGAAAATTCTCGTGTACTTTGATTTGATCATTAGTAATATTGAAAAATTGCCAATGCATATAAAGGTTTTGACAAATCAATATACATGTTCATGACGCTAAGTTAAACAGTTATTTGCATATATGATTAATTGATGTTCATAATTTAAGATGGTATATTAATGAAAATTAATAAAAGATTAATAATTTATTTTTTATTTGATTTTTACATTAAATTACTATCGCTATATTTTGTTTTTTTCTTCTAAATTCAAGATTTTCTTAAAGATTTCTATTACAAATTTCCATTCATGTACATGTGCATATATATCGATATGGCGGGGATTAACACAAAGAAATCAGTTACATGTAATTTCAATTACATGTATCGGGAACACAGATATGCATTGATTATGAATCCTAACTAGCCAAGCTGTATAATGAACGCGTTAAAAAACTAACATGGAAGAAAAATGTAATTCATGAATACTACAATGAGGATGTCTTTTCAATTTCAACAAAAGATTCTTCTGTTTTTATCGAACAAATTAAATGGTGAGATGTTTTGCCTCTTCTAAAGTACTCCTATTCATATTATGTCGTTATTAATTTAAACTTTGCAGATCACTTGTTCTAAAAAGAGGAATTCAAATTGATTATGTGTACAATCAACTCTCCCTAAATGTGGCACCTCTAAAATGCATGTTCCCAATCTTATTAGATCTTTAATTACCATTACATGTATTATACATGTAGATATAAATGTTCGTGCTGATAAGTCATATGGTCTCGTTGGCTTACATTTGGGAGGCTTACTGATTAACGATGATGAGCAATTTAATTTGTCATTATTATGTGATAAATATCAAAATTACATGTAGTAAATATCTATATGAACCACTAAATAAGTAATAATCATAGAACGTAAAAAAGTACATGTACTGTACGTGACGTGTAACGACAATTGTTCTAGACTTACGTGATGATGTACGTGTATTATCAAAGGTTTTCTAACCGCCGGATTATAGAAGTTTTAAGGAAAAAGCGTATCGATACATGTATTTAGAAATTTATTTTTCAAAATTCAAACCAATAGTATTTTGTATTCTTTTGTTGGTCTGACAAAATTACTAAGCTAAAAGTCTTATTCAAGATATCGAAAACTTGATTTTTAAGTATTTTTGTATCGTATAATAATACAAACAAAACAAACCCAATTAAACGATTAACGAAACATTTGTTTATAAATCGAGTATTACGTATTATACAGTGAGTGACATAAATTATTGTGAAATAAAAAAATTTTTGCAACCTTTAATCAAATTTAATGCAATTGTAAAAATAATTCTTTAAGCTGTTTAAAATACCATTCGAATGCTTTCTGTTCATCTTTGATTTTTCCTTTTCCATTTTTATAAAATTAAATTACTGCTTTCAAATACCATTCGAAACTTTTTATTCATTTTTTTACCCAGTCATCGTTGCATATAATTCTTCAACTAATATTGCGCTACAGCATCACCGTGAACAGCTGTTTGTTAGTCATGTTGGAAAACTTGTTCTAATTAATATTACTTCCTGAATGATAATCAAAGCCTAGAATTTAGCGTATTGTACATTATCTTGTAAAGTTTGAAAGAAGCAAAAGGTTTGAACTTTTTTCACAATGGAATGTAATCAGTTTTTCTTCACAATTTTCAATATTTGATGAGTACCCACTTTTGCTTATTTTCGAGGATACAGTCAGACCTCTCTAAATGCACGTCGTTGGGCCAAGCTCTGAGCATGCATTTAGCGAGGTGCGTGCAATTAAAAATAACCAATTATATTACGTCACATGATTTATATATAGCAACCAATTATATTAATTCACATGATCAAAGAAAATCTTTGATGCTAACTAGTTGAAAGAAGCTTTCTGAAGTCTTTTCACCATCTCATGTAGCCTTAATAATATATTATGATACTCAAACTTGACAGCATTACTAAGATCTTGTGCGAAATATTGCATAACCAAATTTATAGCATCCCGTGCTGCCTTGTGAGTAATTTTTCTCCACTCTATACTATCATCTTCTTATTCCGCTTCTTCATCATCTTCCTTTTCTTGATATACAATTAGATCATCATCACTAAATAATTCTTCAGTATCTCTTTCTCCCAGATGTTCGATATATTCTTTAATATCCACCTTATTTGGCAGGTGAAACAACTCATTTATCAAAAATCATCACTATTATCATCTTAGTTTTTGTCACCATTGTTATCAATGATATTAGTTGAAAGAATCTTGAAATGTTGGAAACAATTTTTTATTGTTGCCATTGATACTTCACATCAAGCTTGAATAATAAATATATAGCAGTAAGAATATTTATTTTATTATTTCCAATTACAATTTCAGATTTATACCTTTCAAGTAATCATTTTACAGAGTAATATCAGTAATGGTGTTTTAAAAGACATAATGATGCCAGCATCCATAGATTAGATTTGAGATGTTATATTTGAAAGAAGCAATTGGATAGGCATATTTTAAATTACTAATATGAAATGGTGCATTATCTATTAAAAAATTACTTTGCAGCTGGCTATTTTTATATCAAACTCTTGAAGCAACTATTAAAATAATAATTCTATCATCTATAATTTAGTACTTGGCCTATAAGTAATACTGAGATTGTCATAATTTATACTTTTAAAGTAATGTAAATTGAGAGACTTTTTAATAATAAATAGTTTTATTTTATCTGATTCATTAGTATTAGTATAAAGTATCACAGTCATTCATTCTTTATCTTTTTTTTCTTTGAGACAGATTATTATTAATATAATATTAGATTCAAGATTAATATAAAATTAAGTTAGAGTAGTTTAAATATTAATAAATTAAATTATAATTATATTTATATTAATAAAATAATTCAGTTTCATTCATATTATATATATCTTTCAGATTATAATCTTTTAATACTTTTCTTATAGAATTATAATAGCAGCAGCTTTATAATAGCAAAAATAACTTTTCTATATTTTTTTATTTTTTCAAGTTCATATCTTTTTTAAATTTTGCCAACCAACTATTTAAAAACTTAAAGTCATTATCAATTATATTCAGTTCTTATATATTGCTTTTTTAATAATTGTATCTATTATCATTATTTAGTCTTGGTTTTGTAAAATTTATTTATTTAATATATTTTCTAATTCTAAATATTAAATAACTCTTTATCTTTTTTGCAGAGAAATTTTCTATAATATAATTCTTTTATTTTATTAAATAGCTAATAATGCTTGGATAAATATTGAGACTAAATATTTCTTTATTCAGTAAATAAGTTTTACATTACTTATACTGGAATTCTGATCTTTATATATAATAATTATAACTTATTGCTTATTATTGAAAGTAGATTTCATAATTTGAAGTACTATATGAAATACTAATAATTTTAAGTATTAAAAGTGTTAAATTTGATATGTTTTATATATAATATCCCTAATATAAAGCAAATAATTTTAATTAATCTTTTTATTTATTTTAGTATATATTGAATTTGGTCAAATTTTTTTATTATTATTAGCTACTTAAATCAGAAGCCAAGTATTATTATATATACTTTTGACAAGAGTAATTACTTTGTTTGGTTCTATGTAAAATAATTAAAGAATGGATTAGTAAAAAATTACTGATCATATTTTAGTTAACTTTACTTTTATTTTATGCAAGTTTTAATTAGTCATGTCACATGACTTGTATTATAGAAGAATGAATATATAGATGAGATCAAAATAATATGTATTTACAAAATATAAAGCATGTGCTTATCTATAATACCTATAGTGAAACTAAGTAAGAGGTATTGTATTTAATGAGGTTAAATTTAAAGAAATCTGACTATATATGGTATTAAAAAATTTCAGAATATTTTTTGTTAGAATACAAAGTGATTTTATAGACAAAATTTTGAGATACATGTACATGCTATTTTTTCAAAAATTAATATTTGTTTTGAATTTTTCCATTACATATTTTGATTGGTTTATCATTTAAAAATTATATGAACCAGAGATTTTTTAGGATTCAACAAAACTTAGCATATTTATATGACAGTGATCATTATAAATATTTAGAATTTTTGATATAATGCATAAAATAATGAAAATTGTCAAAATTGCCTGATCATTTAGTCATATCTTTGTGACCTGTAAAACAAGTTTGATTAAATATTTTACAGAATTATTATTAATTATTATTACACTTATCTCAATAAAATTTATTGTAAAAAAATAAGTCAGTTTCAATAAAGATTGAGCTCATATTATTAAAAATAATATTAAGTAATCCCATTATTTTTTATAGGTGAAATTGTTCATTATATTACAAAGAATATATTTATAAATTTTGATATAATTCTGACATTTTTTCATTAAATAATCAATAAAGATATAAAGTTAACTACATTTATAATTGTTTTAGTTTTTTATAATTTAATGGTATTTTTAATAAGATATTATACCAATATGTCTTAAGTAACTTTGTTCTTTATATCAAAAAACATATATTTGAAAATTTTCATGAAATTCTATTCATTCTTTATCATATAATTGATATACAATTTTAAAAATTCTGAATATTTATGATGATCACTGTATTTATTGCATCACATGGTTTAAATTTATTTCTTCATGATTTTACTACATTGATTCGTCCAACTGAGCTACATAATATGTCTCAAAATCTCCTTTTGGTAGATATCCAGTATTGATAGAATTACAAAGAGTTCTTTTGAAAATTATTCTATTATGAATACTTCTATTAGATTGTTGATAACTTTGTTCGTTAAACTATTCAAATTTATAAATTTATTGAAATCTATTCAACAATATTGGAATATTGTGAGTATTTGAAATATTAGATCTTGTTTTTCTGAATTCACTTTATAAAATGTTCTGTTATATATGCTGTATTTAAAATGATATAAAATAAAGTGATTCATGCAAATTACTGTATGCATTTAAGTAATTACAAATATAACTTCTATCTGATTTTTATCTTTAAAAGGAGTCACACTTCTATTATGCATGTAAACAATTTTTTGTATTCTCATGAAAATATTTTCTGGTCTTTTGAAAGAAATATTTGATAAAATCTTATTAAGTCATTTTTTGTTCCTTTCAAGATTGGAATAGCTAAATATAGGAATATCTATTTCTAACAACTTTTTACAATAATTATTAAAAATAATGAGTATAGCTTAATATTTTTTGGTAATTTATTTTATTTAAACTAGAGTAATATGTATGTTCTAATTCAATATTTTATTTTATTTTTAACTGAATTACTTAGCAATTTCATAGTTAAAATAGTCAAAAATTTCTGGTAAATAAGAATTTTGATCATCAAGGCAAGTTAAAGATGGGAGAGCCTGATTTTTGAGTGAGTTTAGTGACTTCTTGTTAAGCATAAACATGGACTAAAAGATATATCATGTGATAAAATTCCTGATCCTTATACAGTAAAGTCTAAATAAAGTTTTCTTTATATATATGCATTTAGGCATGTTCAAGAAAGTATTAAAAATAAGAATTTTTACTGTATCTAAAATAACATGCTCTATTGTATAAAAGTAATTACCATCAATATTCATGATATAATTCTATCTTAATTTTTTAAATCTGCAAGTATTTTAACCTTTAATACCAATATACATATACACAAAAGTAATGCCCGACCATTTTTATAATAATATTGCGAGAGGCTTGAATTACAAATCTTTTTAATTATAAAAATAAAAAAAATTTTTCTATTTCATTCTGCCTTTATAAGGAATATTTCTTAAAATTTAACAATTATTTATATGCTCACATAATGATAATAAAAGGTGATTGAATTAATATTGATATGTGTTATTGTTATTATTATATAACTTGAAAACTATTTAGAAGAGAACATTAAAGCGGAGTAGTGCTCAGCCACAGATTGGAAAGTTGCACCACTTATATATGCATGGAATTTGTGACATATAGTCACATGTATATAGATTAAATTATATATTTCTACATATACAAGAAAACAAAGTTTGTTGTGTTGTTTTGATATGATAATAGTCTTTGAAAATTTGAGTTTTCTTCTTTGTTGACTTTAAATTAGGCAGATTTGCTATGAAGTCTGGTACATGAGACTTCATTATTAATTAACACGTATATTTGGGTCAAATATGGTATTCAGCCTGATCTTTAAACTGACTTGAAATGATATTTATCAGCTATCAATTTATCTACATTGGCATTGTACTGATGATAATAGTCATTTTTGCAATACTAATATCATTTTATTTATTGAAGTTCACCATTTAGACTCTCCAGAATTTAAGCTTTGTTGTCAACGCTTACAAGTCATCTTTTGCAATATTTATTATTATCATCCTTCACTGCATCCATCCTTATTATCTCCACCATTACATCCACTATCATCATCTTCATTATAACTATCATTTACTGCATCCACCATTATCATCTTCACCATAACCATCAGTATTTCAATGAGTACTCTCTCTCCAGATGAAAAAAGAACTCTTCTTTTTAATGTAAAAGATATATTTGAAGTTCCAGATGAGGAATTCAATAATAACTGGTGGCCTCTAATTCGAATGTATGAACTCAATATAATTCATGCAAGCTTGTTAACAGTGATTCTTGGAAGGTTTTTGCTTGCCGTTTAACAAAACACCGAGACTCAAGCATATGACAAGAGAAGATTCCAATTGAAAAGTGCAGAAAGATAACAACTCGATCATATAGACTTTGTCACGTAAAAATTAAAATTACATAGTTATTTTCTTTGAAAATGGTTAGGATTGAATGTCATAATAATTCTCCAAATCATACACATACTATAAAAGATAATGATATTATCAAACGTTTGGAGATTATCCATACTCTGATCAAATAGAAAGCAACAAAAAACTATCTATCTATAGCAATCATAAGTGCCATCAAAGAATATGCAACTAATGAGTTAGATCTTGGCAATAGCATCCAAGACTTAAAATGGAGGGAGATTACAAATATCAGGTATAAGCTTTGTGGATCTATACAGATACAACTTATTGGTAGTGTAAATTTAAATGCAGATATTCTGGAAGCTATATCCTTTCTAAATAAGTAAGAATACTATGTCGAATATTATAATATCACCAAATAGTCTATCAAAGGTATTATTTTCACGTATCCTAAGCAATTTGAAAAACTTCAATATTATGGGTGATTAACTTTAATTAATTCCATCCATAAAACAAATAAACATGACTGGTATCTCTTTACCTTGTATATCCATAATCAATACAGATATTGGAATGTAGGTTCTCACTTTTTTGTGAGTAATAAAGATAGTGAGACTATTATTAATGCATTAAAAATAATCTGAAAAAAATATTCCCACTGGATACTTCAGTATGTCCTTATGGATCAGAGTGCTACCGAAGCTAATAGTATCAAGCAAGTATTTTCTGGTCTCTATAGTGGTGAGCAAGAATGCGATATAATTCTTTGCACTGTTCATGTTATGCAAACATGAATGGCAAAGATTTATGATACAAAGGCTTGAGAAACTATGATACTAGCTATGCATAAGAAAACAAAAATTAGTTATGAGCAGCTTATTTAAGAAGCCATCCATCTTTGTTCAGTTCCTGCCATTTGTCATTATATTAAAAAAAATTATACGCATAATAATCATTAATAGGTCCTCTAGTCTTGTCAACACTCTTCACTACTTCTACAAGTTATCTTTACAAATGCGCTTGAATCCTATCACAGTGAATTGAAATGAATGACATCTCACGTACATGGATTGATTGGTAAGTTGAAGGTTTCAACTAATTTTTTTTAATTTATCATCTAATAGAATTTAAGCTGTTATTGTTTCTACTAATGGATTTTTTAAACCTTCAATCTTATTTGCATGGATTGATTGGTAAGTTGAAGGTTTTGATTAATATTCTTTTTATTTTTTTAGTTTTATTTTTTTTTAATCGTTATGTTTTTTTATTTTATTAATTAGCTTTTTTTTATTCGTCATATATATTAATTAGTTTTTTCTAGGTACTTCTCATAAAATTATTGACCTTGATCATAAAAAGCAAGCTGATTCAGAAAGTGTCACCTACAACTTTAATATCAAAAAAATATCTGTCTACAGTATTGAGGATAAAATAATCGAGGAAATACATAAATTTCCATTTCCTATACAACAAATGCTAATCAAAGAGACTTATGCAGTAATGGATAGACTTGCAAAGGGTAAGAGTGCGCTAGAACTTCTCTCACTTGATTGTGATTGTTTGTTTTAAAATCGTTATATGCTACTATATAAGTATATCTTCCATGAGCATATATTTGACATCATTAAGCTTTTAAATACTAATGCTTGGAAGATATTTCAAGAATTGTTCGAGAAAAGTGATCTCAAAGTATATCAACATCGTGAATTGATAATGGTGGAGCTATCTAAACTAACCATAAAAGAAAGAAAAATGGAAAATCAGTGACTTGTATTAAATGAATTAACTGAAAGATTGCGTAATAAGTATTGAGAAGCTGAGAAGAGAGATTCTGGGTAAGCTAAAATGTTTATTTCTAAACTAAAGGATTCTTTGAATCCAATTATTAGTGAGTATGATACACTTTAATTTTTTGTTTAATATTATTACACTTTAAATTCTTTGTGATTAATGTTTATTTTATACTCAATATTTTTATTTTTAAAGATAATTTAGAATTAATAATTGATGTACTAATATTTGCGCTAAAGAACTATTATTATATTATATCATTTTCGTTTATTATTGTAATCTAATAATAGAATAGAATTCCTTAAAAATAATAATAAAAGATTTGTTAAACAATAAGTAACCCATATTATTTCTTTGTATATATGAAACTCAAAAATCAAACATTGGTTAATGCAGTATAGGCACTAGATCATACGTCAAATATTATATAATTTTGACCAATAATAGGTCTATCATATCACAACTTAATCAACCAATGAATGAATATATGGCACTATTTGTGACTTGGCATTACTCTGCTTTTAACAGATCTCTATTTAGATACAGTAGATATCACACATATTCATTAAATATATAAATTTAGTATTTTTAAATTATGAATTTTAAATAATTAATTAAGTTTATTATATTGATATTTTTATTATAATTAAATTAAATTTATATAAAATGAATTTTAAATTTAAGTGGTCCTATCAATTGAATTCCATTATAATGGATTATGACATCAATAATTCTTTCAGATCTTTATTATCATGTAATTGGTGAAAAGTCAGTATGCTTGAATTTAGCAAATTATCTCTCAAAAGAAATTTTTATTCAATTAATTTATTTCTGATTATCATCTTTTTTATTCTAGTCATAGAAAGATGAGCATACGAGAGAACTGATGGCCTGTTAGTTTTGATTTTACGAATTAGCATATACGCTTCACTTCCAGATACAATGCAATAAATCTCTAAATAATATTTCTAATAAATTTTAGCTTATGATAGAATTTCATTATAAAAATCAACTAAATTAATAAATATAAAAGAATGAATCAAAGATAAAAAATTTTTGAGAATTATTTAAATTCGTTTTGTGTCATTTCTCTACTGAAAGATTTCATCAGCATTTGCAGCTTGAAAGATTCTCCTATTACGCATAACTCAAAAACAAATAATTTTAACAAAAATCTCTTACAGATTTGTTGATTTTTGTCTAAGCTATAATTCTGTCAAAATAGATTTTTTGTGAATTATAATTTTAAAAAGTTATAAAACTTTAAATTTTATATGTAATTGAAAATTTGGCATTTATTATATAAAAATAAATATTACTATATTTAAAATTTTTTTAATTGCTTCTGATGGTCAGTTTAATTAATATGTATAAGATCTGCAATAAAAATTGTCATTTTGGCGCAGTATTGGATATCTTTATGCTGTCTCTCATAGTAAATGGCAGTTTTGCCGATCTATCCTGTAACGGTAATTTTGGAAGAGTTTATAGACTTTTAGATTTTAACGTCGGTGTCTGCGGATATCATTTAATTGATGGTTGAACGGATTAATATGCGAAATATCGGGGGTTTTGGATTTACGTTTACCTAGTGCATTATTTAGAATGGTTAAAAAATTTGCATGCCTAAGATACTTCATTATAAATTGATTTATATAAAAATTAGCAATCATTCATCAAAGTAAATAAAATTAATATACATGTATATAACATTGGGGGAAACAATATCGTTATTGTTACACATTCAAATCGGGCGGTGTTACTTTTTGTAGTGACTCAACATTTACCGCAATATCACTATTTTAAAGTTCCGAAATTACAGTAACAAAAATCAATTAAGAAACAGGCTTACATTTCCGAATACTGATTTTTCCAATTTATCAATTAAAAAAAATGGGCCCCTTAGAAACAATAATATGGTGAAAAAAAGTCAGTGAAATTGATAATGAGGGGTCAGAATAAATGGATTGGAATTTGACAGTATCAAATGTAAATTTAAACAATTTATTAATTAAAAACAATTTAGCACCAACCTCTTCATTTAGCATATACACATCTGAAAATCAAATCAAAATAATGAACCAGCAACAATCAATAGAATCTGGATATCCTCAAACACAATGTAATCTCGCTCTCTTTTATAAAAATGGCGGAGGACAATCGAAGATGAACAAAAAGCATTTGAATGGTATTTGAAATCGGCAGAGTCTGGAGTTCCTCAAGCACAATATAATCTTGCTCGTGGTTATAAAAATGGCGAAGGAACAATCAAAGATGATCAAAAATAATTTGAGTCGAATTTGAAATATGCTGAGTCCGGACATCCTCTTGCACAAAATAATCCTGCTTTCTGTTATGAAAATGGAATAGGAACAATTAAAGATGAACAAAAAGCATTTGAGTGGTATTAGAAATCGGCGGAATCCGGAAATTGTTGTGCATACTATCATTTTTCCAGATGTTATGAGTTTGGAAGAGGGACAGTGAAAAATAAGGCAAAAGCATCTGAACTTATTTCTAAATCTGCAGAATCTAAGATTCTATTTCTTTTGAGATTTAGTTATTCAAGAGACAAAGAGACTAAAGAAATAGAAAAATCCTAATTTAAAGAACTTTTAAAAATATCATTATCTCGATATGGCGATTCTCGCCTACATTTTCGACTTGGACAATGCTATGAATATGGCGAAGGAACAGATAAAAAGGATAATGAAGCGTTCTGTTGGTACTTAAGAGCTGCAGAATTAGATATAATAAAGCTCAGTTTAATATTGAAAAATTTTATCAATATGACATTGGTATCTTGAAAACTTTCAATTTAACTTTAAAGTGGTATCAAAAAGCTAAAGAAAACGGACATGATCGAGCTCCTGAATTAATTGAATCTTTTGATTTCGAAGAAATATATTCTAATCTCCAATTATTTTTGCTTTTGTTCTGTTTACAATTTAAACTTTAGAAGGATAATTCATTTTCCATTCTTGTTCATAAACATATACACACATGTATGTATATGTTCTTATGATATTATTTTGTTTAAAGATTACATGATTCAATACATTAGTATAGATAACAAAGTTACTTAACCATTTAGTTGGATTTTCTCAAAAAAATCCAATTTGGTTAATAATGTGAGGTAGCTTGCTTTTGGGAATTTACGGTATTAGAAAATTTTTGATTACTTGTAATTTTTTATTTTATTTTATAATTTCTATTGTATTTTTTAACTTTTAGAAACTATAACTGTACTGGGATTGAGAATAACGCATATTCGTAAATTCTTAAGAATTAATTTTACAGATATTTTGCTTTTGTTAATAAAAGAATATTTGCATGGAAGCAAAATTCGGTATCATAATATCGAGGATATGAATATGATAAACTTAATATAATTTTTTAGATAAATTATGATGTCGAGCCTTTGCTGTATGTTAAAAAATGATAGTGAAAAGATAACTTGAAAAATTATGTACACCGTTGAGAAAGTTTTTTTAATGGTTTTACAGAATCAAAATATGTTGAGTTTTGAAGTTTTTTCGATTTCGAAATAAATTATCTTTTGTTATACTATTACAGCATTTATTTATGTTTTTATTATTTATATAAAATCTTTCGGATAATGTTTTTAATTAATTCATCAATACAATACACTTTTGTTATGCACAATTCGGAAGTAAGGTTGACTACCGAATTATGACAACAACAAAAGCGCAGGAGTTAAGTTGAATGATTTATACAAAGTAAGTATTGATCCATACCAATTTTACACGGAGATTGTGCAATCAAAGATAAAGGAATTTAAGGGCCAAGGTAAAGTTTAGTATTTAAAATTTTAATTTAATTTCAAATAATTTAAATTTACTAACAAAACTCAAATAACATTCATTCCAAGTCGCAAAATAGGTTATTCCAAAACATTAATGTAAGAAGCAAAATCAAATAATCGAATCAAAGAATCAAATAATCAAAAAATTTGCAACAACTTTCTATACAAAGCAGTAAAGCCTTCAATTTTGTTATGCAAAAAGAAATAAAGCTATAATTTTGTTAAGACACAAAAGATATAAAAGCTGGATTTTCTTTAAATCGGGTCTATCCCAACATCCCGACATCCAACATCCTGACAACCCAACATCACAACAATCCAGTATCCCGACAACCCAACTTCTCGACAACCCAACTTTCCGACAAAGCCAACTTCCCGACAAAAGCCAATAATTGATAGAGAGGGAAGAATTATAAATGCTATTAGTGATCGAGCAAATCGTTCGGTGTTAGATTTTCTTCGTGGATTTGTGCACAATCTTTCTTTGTAATGATATGTGTTGTTTTTATTCTTTTATATAAGATTTACGTTCAATTTCCTTAGCTTTTTATTATATGTAAAAATTTACGTTCAATTCCCTTTTATGATAAATCAGTTAGTTATTAGCGAATTAAAAATAAAGTTGCGCAATTACCAAGAATTATTTATCGCGTTGATGTTTGAATGTTAATAAATGCTAGTTGTCGATCCCCATAATGGACTAGTTTGTCGGGATATTGGGTTGTCGGGATGTTGGGTGTCGGGATATTGGGCGGCACCCCATGTACATGTAGTTAACGCTCCAGAACATTGTGACACTTCGTAATTATAGTCATAATTAAGGAACGTCTGCAAACAATTGAATAATTCGCGACCAACAATTAAGCATCTGATCTCAATAACGATACTGCAACAACATTAGGAATTATGAGTCCATAACTTCTTTAGTAATTGCCCGATACCAATAATATTATCTCTTTTGGACTGATGTCCAGCATCAATTCGTGAATCTATCTATGCCCTTATAAATTTTACTAACCATTTCTTGAGAAACATACATTTCTGCCTATATCGATGTGTCTTGATACTGACACTAATATTCTTTTTGTTGATATCGTATTGTGCTTGATCTTATTATCCAGAAACCATAATGTAAAAATAGAATATTGCAGAAATAGAGTTAGTATTAATCAAATTGTACATAAAGGCGGAATGTTCGGCCTTTATACATTATGCTCTAATCGAATAAAAATAAAAATTAATTTTCTTTTATTTTGGTTATCTTCAAACCTTGCGTGCAAGTAGTGAATGTCTCATATTATTTATATTATATAATTAAAAAATAAGTTTTTAATTAATTAAAATAAAAATCAATTTTATTATATGATTAATTTATTTATATAAATGACCTTCACTCTAAATATCCTATAATTGACTTTGATCTTGTTGGCAGGAATTAAGTCCAAACTTTGATTTTACGTATTGTAGTTTTTGTTAGCTGAAACTGTCTGAATTATTGCTTCATTAAAGAACATATTACTCTGTTGTAGGTGAGCAGAAACCTTCTCGAAACCCTTTGTAGTCTAGCGTAGACTCCCTTTTTGTTGCTGGTCATCAGAATCCTCCTTTGTTTTCTAAATTAATTAATAAACATTTGTAAAAGTTGATTTGCGTGCAAATCACCACAGGAAACCTTTAAGAAAATAAAGAAAACCATATTATTGTAAAACATTCAGACTTCAATAAACCTATGTTACAGCTTTAGCTGTAGGTGCTAGGATGTTGGGTTAGGGAGAGTTTATACCGTTAGAGCTACTAAAATAGCGTGTTCGAAGTTGAAGAAGTTCATGATATTTAAATATTGTCATAGCAAGCCGATATCAAAAAATAAACCTTATCGCATATTAACCCATAAAAATTAAAAATTATTATCACACGTAATAATGAAGCTTTCGAAAGATAAAATATGAAATAATTATTCAAGGTCAGGATAGGTGTATATTGGTTACCCTTTATCTGCTTCTGTAAGTACTGAAGGAATAGATATAACAGATTTTTACTTTTTTTTGGTCCATTAATGGCGAACTAAATTTTTTGGCGTGCTAAAATATAAAAGTGGATTGTGTTCTTGATGACTAGTTAAACTGTTGAATCAAGTCATGATTTCAATTTTATTACGATCATTTGGTGCTTTCCTGAAATCACAGAGATTTAACATGATGTTGAATATGTCCGAGAGAAATAGATTGACTAGCAACATGAAATTAATGAATTTTCAATAAAATGTCATTTATTTTTTTTTAAAGCACATGAATAAATAAACAAAATTTGATAAGAATAATGGTTGAAATAAAACGCGTAAATAAAAAGAAATCGAACGTTATTTTTCTTGCAAGTGCACTCAAATATTCGATTTCATTAGTGTACTTGAATCGAATTCTTTTTTGCACCAAGGAAAAAAAATATTGAAATAAAAATCAATGAGATTAACATTAATACTAATGATCAAATTGACAATTGTAAGTCCTAAATATGAAATGTTAAATCGGTTTGATATTTAGCAATGAAAATTTTCTGAACTGAATTGAAATTAACTTTTATGATAAACATTCGACGAGCATACATTGCATTAATTTTTATTCGTAGGAACGCTTTTTTGTAATTCTGTCTCCTTTCTAATTTAGGACACTCATAAATTTCTTCATCAGTTTTACGTCGTGAAAGCAGATAGACCAGAT